CACGTTAGATACCCGGCCGTGATGTGCCTACCTTGTCAGGATGTAGTCAAGGCGCTTGCAATCGTTTCCCGACACACCGTTGTATGTGTGCAATATTCCGCTGTTGCGTGTCTCGAAGAACGTGTTCGTGAGAGCTAGCCTGTTTTCCGTTGCAAATTTCAACAGCAGTAGTAGCATGCCATTGTCGTTGAGCTCATCACGCCCGTACATTCCTAATACCCTCCCGTCCCCTCCGTCCGACCTATCTCCCGTCCGCGCGTTGGCGTCCAGTAGCACATACACACATTTTTTGGAAGGGATCCTCGGTACGAGACTGTAAATTTTTCCCCAGAACACTCGCTTACTGTCGGCGGTTGAAGGTTCGGTTGGAGCATACGCGGCTACGAAGTTGACCGCTCCACGGTGGCCTGCCAACAGAAACCTCATGGCCATAAGGCGTTCGTCGATAAACTTCGTAGTGAACGTGGATGTCTTGCACAGTGACTCTTTGACGGCTATCCCCACACCATGGACTCCACCAGTCTCCGTGCCACAGTAGAACACCCGGAAACCCGCTGCTGCAAATTTCGTTCGACCTGCCCTCCCTGTCTCGTGCATTCCTACCACCGATACGTCTCGTCTCGCTGCCTCGTGTAGAACGCTGTAAGCTCGCCCGTATCCATTGGCCCCGTTTACAGCCAAAGTTCGCACATTCCAGGTTGCTACCCTAAGAAGTTGACCCTGCTGTCTCTTTCGCGCGGCGCGCGCTGCTCTCTTAGCTAGCCTACGCGCCGCCCGACCCCTCCTTTTCCTCCATCTTCCCCTCTTTTTTTGTGTTTTTTTTACTATTTTCTTGCGAACACTCGGGCTAACGTGATATTTACCCCGGTTCTTGCCTTGTTTCCCATAGAGTTGTCCTCTTGTCCCGGAGCGGTGTGACCCTCCATCTCTGGACTGTCTCCTTTCCGCTCTCTGGGGCATACCCCCACGACGTGCGGCCACTCCGCCATCCTCACCGTGCTCTCTGCTGCTGCATAGCCCCGGTTGATCGATAATTCGGGTGGCTCAGTTGTGTGTGATGGGAGCATAGACTAGAGCAGCTCGGCCATGACGGGCCGTTGGGGTAGGTAAAGTCGTACCGACGTGCTGGAAAACGTTTTGTATCCGTGTTGTATCCGTGTTGTATACATCGGGGGCGTGCTTGAGCTCGTCATTCCANACAATCAAAACCAAGAAAACGAAAATACAAAATCCCAACACCAAAACAATACGTCCGAAAATAATCAATCGCATACCGACTCTTCTTCCAAATCACCAACAAAAAAGTCCCAAACACTAACTCTCCAAAACACTACCATCTCCACTTGACTCTCTCCATCTCTTGTTCAAACCCGTACAAAACCTCTCTCTTTCACTCCGCGGCAAAACACGATTTGATCCCAAAACACTTCTTTCACTGCAAATTCATCACAAAGCATCTGTGCAACGCAAAAGATTCCTTGCTGATGATAGCCTTCGTCATAAATCTGCATGTTTTCAAGTTTTACAACTTCGTTGCCAAGCGACGAAAACCCAACCCCGATGGTAACCACCGGGGGGGAGGGAGTTGTACTCCGGGGGGGAGGGAGGGGTGTGGTACGTGTCGCACGAATGGTGGTGCGTAGCAGCGTCTGTGTGTTGTTGGTGTCATGTGCCCCTCTCCGCGGAAAGAGAGAGAGAGAGGCCGCTGCTGCTGCTGCTGCTGCTGCTGCAACCAAATAATCCATCTCTCCTCTCGCTCCATCGCCGATAGCTAGCAGCAGCAGTGTATGGTGCACCCTTCTCCCGCCGTCTCGCCCTCGCTCTTGTCTGTGTCTCCCTCTCCCTGTTTGTCCATGTCTGACTCTGTGTGTGTGGTGTGTGGTGTGCGAGGCTATCTGTCTTGGTTCAAAATCAAACGACGCCTCTTATCGGTGTTGTTGCAAGGGGCCAGAAACTTCCCTGCTTCAAGTTAGGTACCGACGCTTGACTATCTCGACGCACCGAGCACGGATCGAAAAGGTAGCAGTTGGGGCAGCTCGGGCAAAATATTACTTGTTGTGAACACGTCTTTGAATACAATTTGGTGCCGAGATGGTGAAATGGGCTGCAATCTGCTGGGTACTATATCGAGGCTGGCCACAGACAGACAGACAGACAGACAGACGTACTTGAGCCCGTTTTGCCCTCCCCCTCTAAACAGCTTTTTTTTTGCAAAACAAAAAGCGTATCCCTAAACGGGCCACACTTTTCGCAAAAAAAAAACTATTATTATTATGCATGTGCCGATGTAGGTGACATGATGTCTCACGCCCCCTTCATCAATATTTATACTAGCGGTAGGTCGTGACAAGAGGTTTTGATGCCGCTATATATAGAGGGCAGTGCCGTTATTCCTAATAGGGATTGCACTGAGAAATTCATTTGTGCCAAGCGATTTCGGTGCCGCTACGGGGCATTCCGCTATTTGTTGAGGGTGGTACCGTTATCATCCAGGACCGCCGACTGAAGTAAGATAGTCCACAAAGACGAGGATGCCAAACGATGTTTTTGTTTATTTCGGCAAGCTATCGGCCGTGCTCGGTGAGCGAGCGTGTCGCTGTGTGCGCTCTCTCGACTTTACTAACCGCTAAAAACTTGAAAGCTTCAGACAGGCAACGCTACGATACTAGTCGAGTTGGTATCACAATACAACACAAAACAGTGTCGCTTGAACCGCCTACCCGAAAACTGGTGCCAAGTGATTGATCCCCAGCACCAATCGGCCGGCTGCGAAGGTGAGCATACAACAGAAAAAATATCGAACATACCAGATGATATAATAAAATGGTTAACACTGTACCCATCATGACTCTACCGTTATCTAAGTCTACATGTATGTGTCAAATCATCTACACTCCCCGACCAAGCCCAGTTCTGTCGATGTGACCGCGACGTATCGAACGTGGGAAGACCCACAGCTATTAATACGCATAGCAACCTCAAGGAACGGCAACCGTTGATCGGTGTTGTATCGTTTCGCGCATCCTCAGTGCGGCGTACTTCCCCGGCGGTCTTGACGTCCCCGTGACGCGTATCGATCAAACAACACAGGAGCACTACAGAGCATGGACTGCATTCCAGGCAACACCGCAGATATTGGGCAACTCTATTGTTGTTCATGCCACAACAGTGGTTGCCCCATTGCGCTTCAGAGGCGGGTCAGCCGTGGGCTAACCTATCGTAAAGGGTCGCGCCTGTCTGTGGCGTGCGATCGGGTGTCAGGAAAACTACCGTCAAGTGCTCTCTCTATCCAACCTTGACGCACGCCTCTCCTCCCTGGCCATGGCGGCCACACGGACCAAGCGTGCCAGAGAGCATCCGCATACCGCAAAAGACCGCGCGTCGCTGCTGCAACCTTCGCCAGTCTCCCCGAAACACATAAGGGACTTACTGTCCCGACGTAGTCGGCAGCGACGCAAAAGACATCGACAACTATAACAATATCATCAAATAACTTTGTCTACTGGATTTTCCTTCACTCGGGGAAGCATGGCAGGCGGATGACGACGGCGGTGATATCGTCGCGATAGTCCCCCTCCACCTCCCGCCACTTGGTCGCCGCGGCCTCAATGAGGTCTTGCGTCGCCTTTGTGCAGTGTGTCCGGACGAGACGCAAAAGGGGGTCTGCAACTTATGCAATCGAAAATCACAGCGTCGCTCGTCTGAAAAGCCCCTACGAACTGCAAAGTACATGGAACGGGTTCCCGCCGAGTAATACTCTTCTTCGTGATGTTGGAAACCAAACACGGAAGCGACGAATGTTGTGTCTGTAGCGCCTCTTACAGCCTGCAACCTAGCAGCGCGGGGTATCAGTTGGTGGAGTCCGGCATCGAAAAGCGCAATCGCCTTCAACAGAATAAGTTCGTGTCGACTTTGTACATCCACCACTTGTGCCACACTGCCGTGTCCTTATTCCGAGATGCTCCCCTGACCGACAAATTAATACGTTCAGGCTTTCACCCTCGTGGCTTCCCTCTGCTGGCGCGTGTATCCTCATCGGTCTCCTCCCCAAAGGGACAGGTAGCAGCGTCACGCGCGGTTCTCACCTTCATGGTCCCCTCCTCCAAACTGGTGTTGACGATGTCGATGGCCTCCTGGCTCTTTACGAACTCCCACACGCCGTCCGAAGCCAGCACGATAAACTTGTCCCCAGCCTGTACATGTGTCCGTTTGGTTTTAAGAGAACGTGAGCTATCCATGTTCTCAATCAAGTGTTCAAGGAGCCTACGTCTTGCTTTCAAGGTACAACGTTTGCGTCGGTCCTGGCTCTGGCGGCGGTCTGCCCAGGTGTAGAGCCAGTGTAAACTGACCAACGGCAGCAAGACAAAAGACGACGCACGACGTCCGTAGGTTGATTCCAATCTTATATACAAAATATTGTTGATGACCGTTGAAAGTCTCTCCATAACTCTCGGGTGGACTCACGTCGCTTCGGGGCAACAATTTACCTTCAAAACCCCGCAACTGAATACTACCTCATAGCCTTCCCCTCTTAAGGTCGCCAGAAAGCAACAACACAGTTTACGGCTGAATGCAACATTATTGTCTCGGGAGAGCCAGAACACGTTGGTCCAACGCAGAAAACGCTGGAGAGGACCGAAACCACTCTGCAGACGATGGTAGTAGAAAAATCGTGCCGACGAGATTCCCCACGGCTCTGTTGTTGCCGTAACCCTGTCTCACCGCGATGGTGTGCGTCGTCACCTCCGGCTCCGCCACCACCCCAATAGACTTCACCGCGTGGTCTCCGATGGAGCGCGCCATGGCCAGCCCTATCTGAGTCATGGCAGCGTCGAGCCATACCCTCGAGCTGAGCCCTGGCTCGGGAGGGGGGCTGACAAACCCTCCTGCGGCTTCAATGCGAGCCTAACAACGAAGAAGGAGAACAAAGCAAGGGGAGAGGAGACGTAATGTGAAGGGGGCGTTGGCAGAGGAGACGTGATCCTGGAGAGCCATGCCATGGGGTAGCACATCATGGCCCAGAATCTCCTCGGACTCCGGATTCTTCAGATGAGGAACCAGCCTAACTTTTTCAACCCTTACTTCCGAACTATGATTTCAACTGTGGTAGGCTACATCCATAACCCATTAGAGTACTTGTCGCGTGCCTACGGCAGAATATTGTACCACATACGTGTGAGTCAGATGTATCTACGATGGCAGGGATACCCATATAGCTCGGATGAGTCAAGTTCACTTCCCGGCGTTTATTTGGTCCTTCTGTCGGGGGAGCTTTTCTTTTGCTTTGCGTCGTACTTCGAGGAGTGCATTTTCGGAAAGCGCAAGAAGAGTTGTGATGAAAATTTGAACGGGGCAGGATAGGTCCATGGTGGTCAAATCAAAACAGAGTTAACTGTACTTGGCTGCGGCTGCGGAGGGTGGGCAATGTGCCCAATTGGGGCTTCGCCAAGACGCGTTCAGTAAGAATCACCTGCTCCTTCGGGGAGTTCGGGTTCTGGTCCACGCTTAGATCGACCGCCTTCAGCTCAGCCCCGTCCTCATGAGCGAGCACGGCGCGGCTATCCCCCGCGTTGGCGATCCACAGTTTGTTCTCCCGCATGAGCACCGACACCGCCGTGGTTCCCGAGAAAGTCGCCTCTTCCCCCTGACGTCGCCAGGTGTCGTGGGAAAACCCGTTAGTTAGTGTCGGTTTGCGCTGGGTCAAATCGTATGTCTCCTTCGGAGGATCGAGAAAAGAAAAAGCGAGCAATCTCCTCCGCGCTCTCTCTGTTTGCCGCACCTAGTCGCCAACTCTTCTCTCTATGGAAACGGACCCCCTGGCGTTCCCGGGCCCGTTCCGTTACATTCCATGGTTCGCTTGACTCACCTTCGACGCGGCGAGCGACTCGTCGACCTGAACGTAAGACTCCATGAGAGCCTTGGCGGGGTCGTCCAACAGAGAGGGGTGCGCCGCCAAGCACGCCTGCAGCTCGTGCATCACAAAGTTGGACACCACATCCCCGTGCTCCCCGTGTCCTGTCGTTGACGCCGAACACAACGGCGGCAGGCACTTAGCGCACAGACCACCGTCCTGTTTACGGTCTTGAACCTTCAAACATGTTTTTTCGAGAGAAAACTCAGTGCTCAAGCCCAGCTTTGTCGCACACCCGCGAACCCCCCTCCCGTGAACACGCACAAGAGTCGACTTCAGGTTTCGCGGAGCCTTCCTCCCTTCCCCCTCCCTCGAATGCGAGAACTCGCCCATGCACGGGACAACGTCGCCTCGGAAAAGCATGCTGCCCCTTTCTTTATCTCACCGTCGAACACCGAGAAGAGCGCGTGCTTGGGGTCCTCGTTGAACGGGTACACCACGCAACCCCTGTCCTGGTTGATCTTGGCAGTCACGCCGTCGTCGTCGTCCCGACCGGTACTGTAGCTGGGCTCCACGCCGTGGCACGAGTACGTACCCACCTGCATGATTTTACGGGGTCACTGTCGGGGTTCAAAACGATGGTCGCGTGGCGACAGTATTGACACAAGGTGTGCGCATTGAATACTGCCACAACCCGAACCAATAGCCAGGCCCCACACCGTCCTCGAACTCGCGCCTACTTACGAGTGCTGTGGAAGGGACAAGTCGGCACAGGCCCGTGTAGTGACAACCTTGTTGGACTCGACAATACCTCTAGATCATTCTTGTTTTTAAGTGACAGCAGGAGATGGGCTTTGGGTCGCGAGAAACGAGCACACCCTACCTCGGGATTACCGTGTGCCTGCCGTTGGGGTGTCAGTGACATGCGATAGAATAATGTAGGCACATACCGCTATGCCGAAGGCACAGAATAAGGCTACACGGGTGGAACGCTCTCCAAGGGTGCTCTTAGACATTCCCAAAAACGAAGGCATCGCACGAGTATCGAAATAAAGGTCGTTGTCGTCGCTGCAGTCAATTCCGCCATCGTCGGATCAAATTTACACCGGCACCCTTCCTGCATCTTCCACCTTAGTCACGTTGCTTTGAGTACGATCAACGTCAGGTGGTCGCCGGCTATTGCCACCCTCCTTACCTGCTGCAACCACCTCCCCCCCCCTGCGCGCGAGCGCCGTAAAGGTTTGAATATTGATCGCGTCACTACACAGTCTAACCTTGGCGTCTGGAAACGGCAAGGGAACCGTGTCCGGTGCCGCGCCGATCTCCTGGCTGGTGTACATGGCTATGGAGTTCTGACGACGTGACTCCGCGACGGCAACCTTTGGTGCCGCCTGTGTGGACGTAACCGAAAGTCGGCGTTTCCTGCGAGGAGGGGGTCGTTGGTTGTGGGGGGGAAGCGGCAGCTGCCAATGTCGAAAGTGGAGAAAGCACAACTGCCCGTGCGTATTGCTTGCGCACAAGGGAGACTAAGGGGTAGTCTAGTATTGTTGTGTTGCCGTTGCTACGCTTGGACACCATGGCACGACAGTCGCGGGTACACTTCCAGCGGCGCTGCATCGCTACTACGTTGGGCCGTACCTTCTTCAGTCCTACTAAAGGGAAAAAGTGTGCGCGTACCACTGACCCAGAGCTACCGGCAAACGGGCAATGGATGTTTCACAGGAAACATGCCATGTCCTGTGCTGCTGTGCTTGTCATGTTTTACTGATGCCTTCGACGTTTCCCACAAAAGCCTGCAGAATTCCAAGGATTGGGGTACACACGTGTCAAGACGCCGTGCTTCCTTCGCGTTTGGTAGTCCTTGTCAAGTGCATAGGTGGGCTGCAGCAGGAAGGCAGCAGAAGTTCGGGGTGACCAGTACTAGCATCAAGTGGCATTGCACCAAGTGGGACGATGTCACGATACTCGAACCCAGTACAAGTTCTGCTCGTTGTTTATCGTTGCTGTTGGTTGTCGCTGTTTGCTGTCGTTTGTTTTCATTACAGTAGAACGATCATCCTTGCCTCCAACCGATACACTTGCACAGCTTGGCTGATGATCCTCAACACAGAGAACCTAACCTTGTAATACCAAGCTGTCCCAAATACAGCGAACTCTAAATATGAGACCATTCCCCATTCAACGGCTGAAGGGAATCGGCGCTAACTCCACGTCATCCTGTCAGGCTCCTCGGCGGCCAAACTGCACGTAATCAGGCATCAGACCCGGGAGCAAGACACTCTTGAGGGCATTCTTATCAGCATCTTTATCGTACGCTAGGGCGGTTTGCTTCCCTCCATTCGTACACACAGTTCATCGAGCCCGAGGCCTCTGTTGCGATCGAGACCTCTCCGCGCACCGGAGAACACATTTTTCCCACGTGGTTTGAATACAACAGCGAGTACTCCATAATCACTACGAGGATTTTGAGACTCCATGTCCTCTCGAGATTTTCATTTTGACGCGTGTCGATGTTGCCCGGCTTCGATGGACACCCGGATCTAACCGTCGCTCCAGACAGGCGCTTGTGGGTACAGACTTTCCCAGAAAGCAAAGGGTCCATCAAAAACTGTAGGTTGGAAATATTTGATAAATGTATAAGGCCACAACAGTCGTCATCGTTGTTGGCGTCGGTGTTTGTTGTTGATGTTGTGGTGGTGGTCGTCATGTTTCCGCATGACGCCACCATGCCCATCCATCCAACTATAATCGTACCAACTTAAGTCTGTCCGTGCTTGGTGAGGCACCGCTGTCGTGGTCGCCTCACGCGCTATTCGCCCACACCACCCCTCTGTCGGGGATGGCTGCACTGCACTCGCAATCCCGTCCCATACCCGATCGCGATTCACGAATAGAATAGACCGGGATTTCGCTTCGGCTAATCCCGCTGTGGCACACATCCGCGGAAGGCCCATGCCAACATGCTCACGCGTCGAACTACGATACGCTTTCGATTTATCAAAGTGTTGGTGACTTTGAGTCTTTCAACCTTGCGTGTTTTCAGATGGGCCAGGGGGTCGTTGGATTTCACATGATTGGCATATTACATGACTGCTCGCCTTCGGATTGCTGTGCTCGCACTAGATTGCATCGGGTCTTCGCACGCTGAACATTTGCCTCTAAAACCAATTAGCGAGTGTGTTGCAGTATTGCAACTGTCATGACACATGTGACCGGGTCGAAGCTGAAATGTCAATCAAGAGTGTCTCATTCCCCCCCTCTACAACAGCACTCCTCACCTGAACTCCGATGTCTTGCCACCGGCCACAGGTTCTGCTCCGGCACCGCCAAACTTCTCCGAGAACGCTGCCGCCGTCGCCGCAATTTCCTTATCGGATGAATCGTCGCCATTTTTCTGATTCCACAAAAAAAGAAAATAGCCCGTGGCCGAGGCAAGTCAATGAGAGAAGCGCCGAGGGATACAGCGTGCGGGGTTAGTGCTCCCAGAGCAGGAGGGGCGCGGAGGCTTCGGCAACGACTTCAGCAAGAGGCCACGCTACCGCTGGTGCTGGCGTTGTTGCTGGTGCTGTTGCTGATATTGTGGATGATGTCGTGGCCGTCGTTGCCGTTATTGCAATGGTCGCCTCTGTGAATAAAACCCAAAAAATATTTGCTTATTGTACTTGTATTAACCACGGAAGCACCGTTTCGCAGTGTGTTGTGTACTTGGTTTGCCAGCGCTTGAGGAATGGGATAGCAGCAGCTGGGGGGGTCGGCGACAACCAGGTTAAGTCATCTGTCGCGAGGCTATATATCTGAAGGAAAGGCACGGGGCACGTTCATTTTTTCGACTTCCCGATGTCCGATAGATATATCGGAACACTCCTTATGTACGGCATCACGAAGTTGCCTGTGCGTGGCGACTACTGGCGTAGAGAGGTGGTCTCCCACGATAGAGGACTAGTTCCACCTGTCGCTCTGGACAGCAAGATCATGAAGCGATGGGTTTTTCTCCTCGAAACCTCTGCCATATCCCAACCTTCGTCCCGCTGTGCCATACGGTGGTAAACAGAGCTGCCGCGCGAATTCTGGACAAAATGAACCCCAGACTTGCGGACTTAGACAATTTATCGTGAGACTTTGAGCCTATAATACCCAGCGATGTCGGCCGTTCAACATCTTTGCCCTTTTGGGCATTTGGTTGTTTTGACTACCTATAAAGTGTGTGATGGCCCCTTGTTCTTCGTGGTTCTCACGCTTTTCGATACAGCATGAACTGTTTTGGGGATGACAACGTTTGGTGAAAGTGCAAGAACAACGAGCGCGCTGCCAGCACCCTTTCCTTCGATGGTGTGTACAGAAATACCACGAGACCGCGCCACGTACCTCCGCTTCCGCTAGCTCCTTGATCTTGGTTGTATAGCTTTGCTTGAGAGAGTTCATTATGCTCTTGTCGTCCGAGCCTTCCCCTGCCGCCTTCGCGACGTACTCTGCCTGTAACCGACAGAGAATATGCGATTAGTGCCTTCATGTCAATGGGTATAGTCTACCCTTGACGAACCTAGTTGGTGTCTCATCGACGACTTGCGTGTTTCAGCAGCTTCGGATCAATCGTTCGGAGCGCTCTGAAAAAAACATGACTGCAAGCAAGGAGACTCAACGCTGTTTCGAGATTTCGCCCCCATCTTTCGCGGCGGAGCTCCCTTTCTTGCATACGTTTCGACAGAAACGTTGAATTGAAGGACGACCGCCCGCATGAGGCAGACCCTAAGGACGCGTAGTAGATATAAAGGTACTTGGCTACCAGGTACTCTCTCTCCCACGTCGATGCATGGCATTTCATTGACGTTTCATGGGCGTCCCACACGTTTCCCATGGGCCGTCCCACGCTACCCTTAAGACGTCCCAACCGTCTCATGGGACGCCCACGGGCCGCGTGGGATGGCGAGGAACGGCCCATGGGCCGACTTTGGGTTAGGGGTTTGGGTTAGGTTGGTGTGGGACGGACGGCCTATTGGACCCTTGGGACGGCGTGAGATGGCCCATGGGACCCGTGGGACGCCCGGGACGTCCCACGTGAACTCCTTACTACTTTAGACAGGCACCCGGGGGTATGCAAGCCATAGTCTTACTACTGCTGTTGTAGTTCGTCGCTTTGAATGTTGTCTGAGTCTCTTCTTCACCGTAGCAACCGCGGAGTACGTGCTTGGTGGGTGGCACATATACCGCAAATGACGAGATTCGCTGGCGTCCATTCTTGGTGGCGGTTTGTGTTTTTGTATCGGCCGTGTCTGATATTCGCATGGAGTACTCCACGCTCGCAGAAGAACTACCGTACAATCTGCATCCAACAAATAAATACCTCTTAGAATAACACATGAGTTTCGCAATCATCCGCTCTTTTTTTGCCGTGGATTCATGACTCTTTTCTTAGAGATGGATTCGTTGGGTTTAGATCTAGATATATTTCGAAAATAACAAAATAATACTTCAGTACTGCTGTAGATATGCGAGTTTGGGTTTGTTTCATTCATCACATACCTGAAGATGTGTAAACAGTGCAGCCTTTTCCGCGTCAGACAGTGCCGGATCTACCCCCCCCGGAATCGATGCCCCTGCCCCCATGACTGCTAGGCCCGAGGTAGGTGCCCCGCTGAGTCAGTGTGGGCTGTCGAGGACGCGTCGGGGTCGATGGGTATCGTCAGATATGGGTAGGATGTGTGACGACGATAGAGCCGGCTGGGTGCCTGGGTGCGTCACGACTCCGCTGCTCACCCGACCGGCCCGGAAAAGACAAAAAATATCCAGTGTGTCACGTGTGCGGAAGTGTGGTGCAGCTATTTGTCAACTACCCTCTGATGATTTAGGCACACGGCAATTCACACATTCGCACAGCCCCAAGAATATGGTGCAGTGGCACGATGCTTACCCCGCGCGCGGGTGTTTGGTCGATGGGAGAGTATTTCGCCGCCGTTACACTGGAGGTGCCTGATCGCCGACGGCTCGAGAGCAGCCAATCAATCCTTCTCATCAATATTTCGATACTGGTCCGGGTACATCGCACTGCCCGATAGTCGCGAATGCGGCTAAAAAGGGACAAGTTGAGAGGGGCATGTACCAGTAGGCCTGCCAGCACAGCAGTAACAAGTAGATCTTCGATGAACCGACGAAGTATGCCGTCTGCTGCTGGGCTGATGTGTTTCGACAGCAGGAGTTCCCATGTTGTCTCTCCCAGGCTTTTCGCACGCGCACAATTACATTATAGGCTGCACATTTTCCATTCCAACAACGCGTGTTTGCGTTTGTCAGCCGGTTGGCGCGGTTATGATGTCAGCATGTCACCTACATACACGTACCTTGGTGCCACCGCTGCCGATCAGCAGCGGAAGACTATTCAAGTTGCTGATGACAGCAAACATGCACCAAACAGCGAAACCCCTCCCCAGTTGCACCGCGCCACGAACAACGCCGTTCATCCGTTCATCCGTCCGTTCATCATTCGTGACAGCGTGACAGCCCTAAACGCTAGCTACGGAGAGGGTAGCTCCGCTTGGCTCTGGGAAAAGTAAGGCTGAAGGTGCATAGTGCAGCGAAAAGAGAAAAGCTCTTGTTGCTACGGTGCCCTCCGAGAGTCAACGACACACAAGGTGAGCGCACCTGCGCTTCTTCTTTATCTTCCTCTGTGACAAAAATCCCAGAGATGGCGGACGGACAGGCGGTGCTTGTTGCCACTCTGTGTGATGGCTGGTGCCTGCTTTCCCGTTCTTCCACAGCTAGCGGTTCGCTCGCCAACAGCATGGCCACATGTGCACACCAAACCACAAGTTGTGTGGCCTACCACACTTTTTCTTGTCAAGACCTCAGCAGCAGGAAACCCGGCCGTGTGTTGCTGCTTTTCTTCGCAAAAGAGACCAAGTAGAGCCAATCATCACCTTTCGGTAGCAGTCCTTCCGGCAGGTGGTCTCATGCGGTCGGAATGCTAATTCTTCTATGCATAGTCTGGGCAGAGTGAAGTGTTCAAGATGAAGGGAGGGAAGTAGTAGGCCGCCGGCGCCCCTCTGGTTCAAGGTTGTGATTATCTTTCGCCTACCAATATCGATGCCGATCTACCTACACACCTGTCATGTTTCTCTCGGGTGGTGTCGATGCGAAGCAGCAGACGCGGCATGATGAAAAATTGGGGGACGATACACGCCAATTTTTTAAAATGTGGCTCGCAAAATGTGGCTCACAGGGGCGCACATCAACCACAATTTTCTTCAGGTTCTTGTTGTGGCTTTGTGACGTTGGCACGAACAGAGGGACACGCGGTGCTTGTTACATGGCAGAACAGACCTCAGTGAGATAGACTCTCCTTGTTGGATTACATAGGTGTATACCTGCGGTGGGTATCGCTCCCGTGGTAATAACCTCGCCTTTCTGGCTTTTGGGGACAAGGTTAAAGGGTTCGCATCTCGGCGACTTGGATCTTGTTATATTTTGTTCTCCCATCTTGCATCATCCCTACTTTTTCGTAGCATAGACTACATAGCATGCGACAGGCGATGAGCAATGAAAGGCTGAGCCCTTCTCGCGATAGTCTACGCATATGCAAACGAATGAAGGGAAGCGCTGCAGCAGGGAAAAGGTCTACACGGCAACAACGCCCTCCGGTGTGGTTTACTTGCTCCGAAAACGCCGAGAGCTACAATTTGCATGCCTGCACATGACACACATCATGGGTGACAAGTACGGCTGTGATGTTTCATCTCTCCGCAAGAAGAACGGGTGTACCTTATTATTCCTTTTATCTACAGCAGTAGTTGCCTTGCCGCAAGAGGAACGCTGAGTGTTCGGTGTTGTTGTGTATTTTCTCCTTTTGCAAGGATTGTAGGTGCGGAGACCGCTGTGGACATTGCTGGCGTCCGATCTCTTCCTGGGCCCTGCTGCCCCTCCTGTCCCGTCGAGGGGACCTTACCCTTCCGACACAAGAAACGTACAGTACTTGGAAAATTTGTTACCAATTTCCTTGACCCTTATCTATTACCCTAACCCTTAAAGCGAAGAACCAAGACCAAAATAAGAACCAAAACTCAAAGTACCGACAACAACTATGACCCCTAAACCACCAGCTAATGCAACTAACCAAAGTGGTACTCTTCCTGTTCCTGCCATAATATTTTTTTGCTCCGATATTTTTCCTCAAATCTTGTAAAAACATTATCTAACAATGAAAACTTTCTTTAATTAATAAAGTACGTAACTAGAGAAAGGCACTGCTAATACAAAGAATAATAATACACCCCAGTATAAAGATGTACGACTTATTTCAACTTCTTGCTGATTAGGATTTGGACCTGTCATTGATTAATCTCCTATCGTTGAATAAATTGCATTGATGTATTTGCGCCTGAAAAGAATATCGTTGGAACGGCTACACCATCAAGAGCAAGCCACGAAACCAAAAAATAGGGTAAGCTATAGGTTGATTTGTGTTTCTAGTCATATTTTTCCTACTTAATATATATATATATTATTTTTTCATTTTTTCCTATAACTTATGTTTATTAGAACTGCTAAATTGAATATCATAAATAAGAGTATGGATAGAGACGGATATGTAATGCTGTCTCTATTGCTATTTGCATTTAAAGAAAAAAAAGGTACCAGTACATGTTAGAGTTGTACTGCTGTAGATACCGAAGGCAACATAGGGCGTAGCTCAAAATAATGGCCAGTTTTCAAGGTTTCGTTACTCGATGAAGATGGTTAACAAGTTGTTAACCAACTCAACGAGACGGTTCCGACGCCACCATTTCGCCACTCTTCGGTGCTATGGGTGAATGTTGGATGTTGATTGAATAAATATCTCGATTTGTGTGAATGCCACCTCAAACTGTCGTAGATTGTGACGTCAGATTACCTGTCGGAGATCTACCTTCGGGGTGTTACCGCAGATAGAGTCAGTGCAGGTTGATCCCCACCTGACACACACACTCACTCAACTCAACTATCCGTACATCAGCCTCTTCACCAGAGGTTGAACCGGTGTGTATCCACACCACCCATCCCTAAGGAAACTTGCTCACACGCGAACCTGGAGACAACCGTCTCACATTTGACACGATAACGACCGCGAAGCGCCAAGTTTCAATCGGGGGGTTCCGTGGATTTTTTCCGGTCTATCGTATCGATATCGAGATATCGACAAGACGAAATTTCATTGATACCCAATATCGATTTTACGACAAGTCGATACGGCATATCGAATTGTTCGATACGATATCCAACACCGACCCATAGGGAGGTATGACAGCTTGTGTCACACCCTGTGCTACAAAATCGTGTTGGCGGTGTCTACCCGCAAAAATACTGCAGTCTGTTTATTGGTCAGTCGGATAGCGCTGTTGGTGCTCGTCGAAGAAAGACAGCAACACGGGGGTGATAGCAGATAGCAGTACTGCAGGGTGGTGCATCTGTTGTCGAGCGGGATCGCGGGGGGCAGCGTGGACGTAGTGACGTTGTAGTCAGTCCCGCGTTGTCTGACCTCCACACGCGTCACGCACATGAAACTTGCGCGATGTGAAAGCATGTTGTATCTATTCTACTCTACCTAATTAAACTAGGAAATTTCTTGCAGACTCCATCACGAAATTCCCGTGAAACTCAAGCCCTCCCACGTTTAACGCCTTGCCCAAAAAGTCTGAATCAATGCTGGTGTGCAAACGCCGACTCCGCGTGGAACACGGAAGCCTCCTTCCTACCAACCAGCTCTATAATAGCATGTGTCATTGCGGATTGGATTGTTCCTACAGAAGCTGAACAACCCCCCTGATGGTCCTCCAAACCCCGAATACATGGCAAGGCGACAACACGACAACACAACACGCACGCACATGTATCTTCGAGGGCGTTCCTTGTTCCCTCCTCCATGGCTGGCCACCTGTACAGCCCCCTTTTCCGGGGGGGGGCAGGGTTTCCAAAGGGGCATCAGGGGCGCACCTCAAGACATGGCCGCGGCAATGCTACAACAGCAGTGCTATCGTCAACACATGATAACGTCAACGTTGCTCCATTAGCAGCTGCTGCTTCGCTCACACTGGCACCGTCGTACCCACACCCGGCGATCGTCTCTCATTGTAATCGTCACATACGCCCCCCCACCTTCGTTGTATCACTAGGGCACACGTGAAGCCCCGGAAAAGGAGTCATTATGGCGCTTAGCTCGCTCCCTCGGTTCTTGATAGTCCTGGTCTTGGCGGCTGCCGCGATGATGCAGGCAGCGACAACGACAACGACATCCAGTGCCGTGGACGTGTGCACGAATAGCGGCCTTGCTTGTGCCGAGGTAAGGATTGCAACGGTCACCTTCCGGTCCATTTCTACCGCACGTGCGCTCCGTTTTCTGTTTCTTTTTCAGAACATGTCATGGCAACATGGTTCATAGTGACGTAGACCTGTTTACAGAGGTAGGCGTCGTGCTTCCGCGGAAGGTTTCTATCTCAGCGAACGTTCGATCAAGCTTTGCCTTGCTTTTCCGTGTTGTTCAAAGTCTAGCAGAGCAAAAGTGCTATTGTACTACGTTTCCTCACGCTCACGGCGCTGCTTCGAAGGCAACATCCCTGTGCGCTGATTTTCTCCACGGTCCCGTGTAAACTACATACACGTAAACGTTCCGATCGGCGTCGCCCGTGTTTTTGTGGAGCATATGCCTGCATCGAATCACACATTGGTGTACGCGGTTCAAAGAGCAACTGACGTTTTTTTTTCGTGGGTGTGTCCCCCCCCTCCCCCGAATCTCCTTGATGGGTACCCGCGGCGCTGCTTCCGGCAGGACACCGTGTGCTCTGCATGCAGGGAGACCGCGAGCTCGAATACGGACGGTTTCGAGCAGTGCATCGCCAACTACGTCTACTCAGCATCGATTTGCACCAACCAAGTGAGTGCCTCCCCTCGCCCCCCTGGTCCGGGGTGTCGGGACGTCGTTGGTGTGTACACGTGTTGATGCATGTTCTTGTTGAGCATCCAACCCACTGGCTTGGTGATGACCAACGGAACACGTGTGTTGTCAGTGTTTGCGGGCGATAATCCTATCTGTTGGTGGCTGTCGGCTTGCGATAGATTGTCGTTCGGCATACGCGGTAGTTACAGCAGGGTGGGGTGAGAGTGCCTTATCACCTTCGCCGCGTATTTTGTGGTCTGGCATTGGTCTCGACTAAATTCAGGTTCAGGCGCCGTTTTTCTTTTTTTTTGTTTGCTCATCGCGAGCCGATCGGCTTCCCACTTTGATGGGGTTCACGAGTTCTCATTATTTTCCTCGTCTCCCTCCGTCTGTCTCTCTCTGTCCCTGTATCTGTGTCTCTGTCTGTCTGTCTGTCTGTCTAATATCGCCCTCCTGTTTTCGTCTACCCGCCCAAACCGCCACCAGGCGGCCCAGGCGTGCTGTCAGGCCGAGGCATCATCCACCGACTGCCTCGCGAACGAGTTCTACGTGGCCTACTACGACTGTCGCCTCGTCAACGACGTAGTAGGGGAGGAGTGCACGGGACTGTCATGCGCAGCCGTGGGGACCCCGGGGCCGACTCCAGTGGGCGGCGTTGTCGACCCCACCATGTCGGCTACGGTCGTGGATGACGACCTTACGGTAACGGATGCCGACTGGGCGGCGCGAACGGTTCCTCTTGGCGTCAAGAACACCGCTGTCGCCGCTGTGTTTGCGACGGCCGGACTTTTGGTGGCTTTGCCTGGTGCCCTGGTCTAGTTGAGAGCGTGTGCTCACGCTTATTAGTAATTGCCCTTTCGCGTTGTGTGTGGGTACCCTCGTTGGTCGACTTGTCCTTTAAAAACTAAAAATTGGTGCCTTTTGACGCTATTTTATGTGTATGCCTCGTTGGTGTCATGCTTGAGTTTTCAGCCCCGATTCCTTTGTCTTAGCATCTACGGTAATTGTCTTTTGCGTTTTGTGTGGGCACCCTCGTTGTTCGACTTGTTGGGGAAAGAAAAGGAATTTCGGTGCCTTTGACGCTTTTTGTATGCCTCGTTGTGGTCGGTAGGGCGTCACAGCTAGGGCAACTAACTGTAGTGTACCACCAGATTGATTGAGAACAATCGCTTTTTTTTGTGTACAACGAGTCTTTCGTTCCGAAAGCATCAGCATTGGAGCAAGAGGCTCTTGCAGTCGCTTGGGCTGGTGTTGATTTTGTTTCGGCCGATCAACCGCGCCACTCTGAGGTTGATGATTTTGACGCCCGCGGTAGGTTTGAGAATCACTGCCGACGAGCCTTTCCCCCTACGCGTTGGCACGGCACAGACTGTACTCTCCTGGCACTTATACGGGTTTCACACTTACCTCGCGCATGCATAGGAGGGATGAACTTTGGGCAACGCTGGAGGGCCTGAGTGGCGGCTGATAGTGCCGAGCGTTGTGGGTGTGAGCGTATGCGCCTACCTTTAGGTGTTGAGTCTAACTGTTTACGTGCCTTTTGTGTGAGTATCTGTCTCCTCCTTATCGTGTTGAACAGCAGCGTGGTTCTTCACCCTCCCCTTTTGGGGAGGCTTTGGGTGCGGAGGATTGTAAAAGTAGATCGTGCGCCAAGTCGCGCATATGGCTTGGAAGATCGTAGGTGCTCCAGCAGCCAACGGGGGCTCAGAGTTGCTGCTGCTCTCTTTGTGTTAAGTGTCAAAAAATGTCCCTCGCTCCGCTTGATTCCAGTTATTCCATCCACTTTATTGTAGTCGCATGAACCCTAGTTGATAAAGTCCAAACTTTAGTAGTGCATTTTGTTGAGGGCATACACATGGTGAAGGTTGTGTGTGTGGCGGGGGGTTCGCCCCGTCCCCCCAGGAAAACGCTGACGGACGCCAGCACGTTCCTCTGAGAAGCAACGGCGAAGTCTCTGCTTGGTTGTAGTTTACCATCCGTGCGTCTTGTTGACGTGGTCAGTTCGTTGTGTACGTCTTTCAGACTAGGACTGTTGGTTTTGACATCCAGGATGACGCCTTTGTGGTCGAAGTGTATGTCATGTGTACGCGTCGTTTCATGGTTTCTGGCGGCGTACACGGCAGAAAGCAACGCACGGCCTGCGTGCCTGCCTGGGGGGTGGTGCAAACAGGAACGGCGTGCGAAATCGGGCTGTTCACTGTTCCTGTCCACCTACCGGTTGCTTCGAGGCACGGTCGCCTTTGACTTTGTCCTCTACCTGCCTGTACGCCGGAGGATCAGAATTAGACGAGATACATCCCTAGGTCTTGTAGGACATGGTATGCGTACCACGTTGTGTATCGCCCTACAAGGCACGTCTGTGGCTTCGGATCCCGAGAATGTTCGTGCTAAAACTCTGCGGCTTTAATTCGTGAGTATTTTTCGTTCGTGCAGACCTCTACGGCGTTGGTTGTGGGGCTTTCCTTGCTAGGCTAGACTTTGTTTTTGAATTTCAGCGCTCAATTCTGCTGCTTTGATTCTTGAGTACACTCGTGCTGGACTCTTTGCCTTTGATTCCGAGGAAAAGTTTGGTGCTGAATACGAACAGACGTACGCTTGCTGCATACAGTCTGAGCGGAGAGAAGAGGACCGTGCATGACATGCGCGGCAAATCATGCCGGCACCCTCGCTTCTGCAGGCATATTGCTGAGCGAACAAAAACCGCTCGCCAAGCCTGAGTTAGAAAGCCGAGAGTTCAACTACGAGGCGTCTGTCACGGGTATTCCGGGCAGGCAATCAGGCGAAAAAAAAAGACTCAAGACTTCCCTTACGAAGTCAGTGAAATCCCAAAATGCGGCGTGGCTTACTTCTTGCAACCTTGAAGACTGCCATCGCCCCTCTCCCCCCGCCCCTCGGCTTCTGAGAGTTAAAACAGTCCCCTCCTTGGTCTTCGCGACGGCGAGAGGAAACGACAACAGTCCGATCGTACGCATGTAGTCACCATGGAAGTTAGCCCACTCTTTCGGGCTGGGTGTTTTTTTGTCTCTCATCCGCCTCGAAACTTACAGAGCACACGCGCGACGCGAGTGATGCAGCCACATCCAGCGACAGGAGAGCACTGCATCAGGGGGGACGACCTAGACCCACCCATTCCTTCTTCGTGTCTTGCTGGTAGATCGACGTCGTGCCTTTTCCCACCACCGGCACCATGTGGCAAAGCTCGGCGGCAGACTAGAGCGCAAACAAGGGGGAAAGAGTACGCATTACAGCACCCACGCAAGCAACCCGGAGGGTCTAAAGAGCGAAATGTAGCTCAAAAGAGAGTCAACACGAAACAGAGTCCAACCCTCGCCGGTTAAACCAACACAACGACCAATTCACTGGACTGGACCAATACAGCAATATAGAACAACCCAACGACAAAGGAAGCAAAAGGGGCTTAGGCTTGCATCCCGTGCTTCCTATCTGCCAAACAGCCAAAAAGCAACCAGGGGGAGAGCGCGCCAGAACTTGACGGCACTACTCGTTTCGTCCGCGCTTCTTCGCGGGACCAAATACTAACAACACGAGCAAACCCTTATGTTCAGCCTTAATATGTTCTCTCCACTCCCGTGCCGCTGGCGCTGTCGTGAGGAAGGTGTGCCCTAAAGCGTAGGCGCACGTAGTCCGCGGTCCAGAAGCCGTCCTTGTCTCGCAGCGCGGGCTGCAAGGCTGCGAGGGCCTCGTCGACCACCGTGGCCTTGGTCTGGGTCAGACCGTTCTCATTGGTCGTGCCGCCTTTGTGAATGTAGTTACAATTTTTTTGTTGGGGTGGGACGGAGGATTGTCGGAAGACAAAACGGAACGGGATATGGGAAAAAACGGTGGGGAGGGGGGGGGTGCGTCTTGCGTGCGATCTGTCATGTGTGCTAGGATAACGCGGACTTAGTGCCTCTTGGTGGTCCGCTTGTCTCGCCACTTACTTTAGAGGAAATTGTTGCCGTCCCTATCAAGCAATGCAATGCTCAACGTCGCGGTTGTGTACAATGATAACTATGCCGCGCAGGTTGGACATCACTCGAGCGATTGAGGCACTACAACAACCTCCGTGCCTCTTTGCAAAAGCGGGAACAAAAAGGGTTCTCGTGACGACCATCTTGACAACAACAGAAAGTACGACAATGAACATGCCTACATCAATAAACGCCATGTCTTCTCTTGGCGCCATTCCACGCTAGAACAAGAACAGAAACAAGGGAAGGCGGTCTCTCACGGTTGCTTGAAGCTTCCTCCGGTATCGCGTTCAGGAACGCCTTCGTGAAGGTGGAAAGCCACCCACGCATGCCGGTTCCCGCCGGCAGGACTGTGGGCCGCGGCACGAGCCAAACGTCATCGACGATAAAACCGGCCTGAGCAGCACAAGCGTAGGAGGGTGCGGAGCAAACGTGAGCTAGCTTGCCTTCGTGAAGAGCTGGGGGGGTTAGAAGATGTGGGCGGGCAAGGGGTAGGGGTGTGATCATGAGCGGCACAAACGTGTGCTGAGAGCAACGCCCCCGGCGCCACATACCATCCGGACCGCACGGGCCAGCTCGCGGAATCTATTTTTTGTTCAGCTTGTCACGGAAAATAACCATGGTAGTCCCCGGTGAAGGTCTCCAAGGCGTTGGCGAAGGCGTTCTGCGGTACGTTCTACACCCAAATCAGCCGGTACATATCTAAATTACCGCACCCGCCACAATGGCCACAGAAAAAAATTAGTCGGGTGTACCTGGGAAATGCCACCCGCGGTTCTCTCCGACAATGCATACGATCAGGCAGAGGCTAGATCTTCCCTCGAATCCCGACAACTCATTTCAGCGAAAGGGTTAACCAGACCGTACCCTACAAGAACAAAGAGAATGAAAAAAAGAAAGAAGCTAATAGACTAATAGACACTCACCGCCTCTAGCAGCTGTCGATACTCGCGCGGCGTCGGAAAGTACCACGGATCAACGGCCAAGGGATCCACCCCTCTCCTCCACAAGGCAGCGTGCATGGCAACTCGGACCGCCGCCATGTTTCCGTGGCCTCCAAACTCTCCCACAAACCTTCAGGACACAATTTTTGTTGTTTGGGTCAACCAGGCATCGGCGGGTACATCGATCGCACCATCAACACCCCTAGTATTCAGTGGTCTATGCATTATCAAGCGTTGCACCATGTGAGGACACCAACCAGGAAACACACACACTTCACACACGTGTGCGGCACATCCATCCATAGAAGACAAAACACGGGTCGTCCAACAGAAGCGGCTAAATCCGCTTGAAACAGCGCAGCAGGGCCTGCACGCACTCATGAGGGCCAGCGTTGGCGCTGGCACCATCGAGGTTTGAGTTTCGTGACGCACCAGTCGTGCGCCCCGTCACGAGATCTCGATTCCCATGCTTGTTGGGACCCTAGCCAACAAGTACTCTATCTGTCACGGAGGATGTCCGTAGCGTAAACAAGTACTCCGGAGTACATTTTCGTGTGGAAACACCCATCTGGTACATAGCAGCGGGATCAATACACGGGAAATATGTGTATCAAACCTGTTTCGGGATTTCATCGAACACGTTTTTCTTGTGCCAGGTTGAATGTAGCGATTGCGAGGGGAGCCGGCGCAAGGTGTAGAACTACACAAGCACTTCCTTACAAGTCTCGAGCATCCCATCGAATTCACGCTCAGTGCCCCCCCCCACTCCTGACAGAGCTTCGCGCTTGGTGATTTGAGAACCTGGTCCGGTGAGAACCCGGCGTGCTCCGTCCCGGCTTTGTAGGGATGCTAGGGTCATATGATATATCGACTACGGCATGCACGGCTATGAGCTCACACCCCTCCCGACGCAGCAGTATCAGTCAGCGAAGGACGAGAAAGCCGTCCCCAACAACACGTATGTATTTCTACAAAAAGTTCCCGAAACAATTGGCGTGCGACGTGTGCAGATCTGCAACCCAGAATAGGTTCTATACCTTCCCCCTGGTCTCAGGACCCGCTTGGCCCCCTCGATCACAGTCTGCGGCGCCCTGACCCAGTGCAGAGCGGCATTCGTGAACACAGCGTCGAACGCCACTGGCGCCTCTCCCCTCTCTGCTCTGTTGCCCTCTCTGTGGGGGGGGGGCAGCGGGGCGGCGGGATCTCCCTCCGTGGCTGTCGTTTGGGACGGAGGCGAGGGAGGGCTGCTGCAGTTGTCGTTGTGGTCGTGGGCGGAGAGCTTCGCGAGGAGGAACGGGGCGTTGATGGCCGACGCATCCATGACGTACGCTTCGATATCCTTCGACACGAAAATAAGAAAAGTTTCGTTGACACCGGGGGGGGGGTCGAGTTAGCGTTCGTGGACGGAGTCGATTGTTGAGAGCCTACGAGAAGATAGCGCCTTGCGGATGTGGATGTCGAGACTAAGGCCTACGAGGTGGACGGGTTTGCGGGTAAGATGGGTTGTCGCAGTCGACTACGGGGGGGGGGGGGGG